TGGAGTATTGAAAATAATTGAACTTTAACAAAAGAAATTCTAGATATTCCAGTGAACCTTCAACAAGGGACAATTAAAGATCTCTCTGCTAAATTATTACCAAAATGGTGTTAACTTATGAGAATCGTTACAAACTTGTTGCATGCAAATTATAAAGAAAATCTGATGACTAGATTTTCTGCAAATAAACAAAACCCGATTTTGAAAGGCCTGTTCATATTTATTCATGTTGTCATGGCAACGGCACATACGTCAGCTTAACCAACAAAAAACCAAAGTTTGTGTTGTTAACTAGCTTGCTGCCATTTTTTACGACCGAGGGATCAAGGGTTTTAGAGAAAAAGGTGAATGAAACACAGGTATCAAAAACTGTGTTCAGCCACCTTAAACAATTAAAATCAGCCGTGATTGCTAATATATTCCTCATGAGTACAGCTTTTACGATTTTCTTTATTTTTGTCCTTGGTTTTAGTTTCGGTTGAGAAGATATACCAAGAACTCTAGATAGTATTTGCTTGAAGTTGAAAAATAATAAGTTCACTTTCCACTTGTAACCTATGGTAACAGTGAGTAACGGTAATTTATTTCAAAGGAGCTGCAAATTCCACATTGCCGTAAGCCAAATGTGATAAATGACATGGACTTTTCGGACAATCAAAATAAACGGCGTGCCGCGCATGCAGAAGCGATGATATTTAACCGCCATTTCTAAAATTCTGTCACGAAAATTGGAAAATAAACAAAGGTAACTAGATGACATGTACATTGGATAAAATACAACAATCACTCCAGTCCCAATACCTCCGTTTAACAACTGGAAATCTAACCAAAACTTTGTCGCTGCTACAAGCCGCCGAAAAACGATTTCACTCGATCCCGAAAATCAAGATGGCGGTTTGCAAGGAAACGGGTTTAGTTCCCTGTTCTCATCGCTTCGATTCAGGATAAATCGTGCGCGACATGAGCGCGACATCATTTATCCAAAGGAATGTCGTATGCCAGCAGTAAGTGATGACGTCATAAGCCATCGCTAAAAAATCCACAAGTTGCCTCTTCCAAAAAAATTATAATAAACAGATCAAATGCTGGATGCATAGAACAGTTCGGTACCAGCAAGATGTCGGTGTGAATGAACATGATCGAGTACGTAAAGGCAGCCCTTGAAACAAAAACAAAGAAAAGTTGTCTTCTTGTCTTGTGACTAATTTGTTAACTGATTTGTGAAATTACGCGATACTATCGCATCTTCTATACCAAACGAAATCATTTGGACAACTGGGCCAGGCTGTTCAAAGCCCGATTAAGCTAAACCAGGATTAGTGGTTCACTTTTAATCCTGGGTTAGCTTTCGAACTACCCGGTCCAGGTCCATTTGCGTATACGGACAACTAATTTTACGGCCTTAAAATGGAGATAATAAGTTACCTCTTTTTCTTATAAATTCTGAAGTAGTAGATCACAAAGTCGCTTTGGCCAAGATTTTCCACAAACTCTTCATCATGAGTGATGATTACAAGTTGAAAATTCACATAAACAAGAAACTGGAAGCTTAATTGAACGGGCGACTTAACGTCAAGTCCGTACCAATCTCTGCACCATTGTATAGTAGATTTACAGGGTTCTCTGTTTGGGTTACAACCTCTTAACTGCGTTCGACAGAACACAGTTCTAATCGCGTAATGCAGAAAAAAATTCCAGATCTACGAATCTATCTATCTATCTATCTATCTATCTATCCATCTATCCATCTATCCATCTATCCATCTATCCATCTATCCATCTATCCATCTATCCATCTAT